CAGCCCGGTGCCCCTGGTCTGCTGGAGACGGTCTCCAGCAGACCAGGGGCACCGGAGCAGCTTACGAATGGGGCTTTCTCGCCCCGACCTCCGGGGCGAGAGAGCCCCGTTCGTAAGTGCGGATCCGACATAAGTCGGATCCGCGTAAGTCGGGACTGCCTGTAATAACATGAGCTTTTGTGGGTATAACCCACTTCATCAGATGATGAGTTGGAGTGGAATTTTACCCATGGAAGCTCATGATATTATATATTTTTGTTAGTTTCCAAGGCTAGTTCTACACCACAGGTGAAAGTCGACTTAAGATACACAACTCCAGCTACGTTAATTATGTAATTACATAACATAGCTGGAGTCAAAGTATCATAAATTGTGGTTTCGCACCATCCACACAGCGTGTGGTTGATGGGAGCACATGCTCCCCTTGGCTTCCCTTTACTTTGTGAGGAGCAGGACTATTGGCACTGTTGGGGGTGCCCTCTCAGTTTGAATTAGCAGGTCTTCACTAGACTCATTAAATCAAAGCCTGGAAGATTGACTGTGTCAGTGTTGATCTCCAACGTAGTGTAAACATTGCTTAAGCTGCCACAGGATTATTCATTGTTTTAAAAGTTATAGACTAACACAACTACCGCTCTGATACTTTTTCATAGATCTTCTGTAGGCTAATATAAGTCAGATCTTTATGACATAGGAATATATATAATTCTGGTGATGTCCCATGTATCCCCAGTTGAGCTGAAAATTACCTTTGAATTAGCTGTTACTACTCAAAAAAGAAATGTTGGAGTTCTCTGAGAACATCAGCTGGATGTCCAGTAACTGTTCAAAAAGCTAAGCGAATATTAGGAACCATCAGTTAAAATCTATCTCTTTGTAACTAAATAAACTTGGTTTATTCTTCAGTAAGAACCAATCCAATATTGTGAATTGTTTGGGGGTAACATGATTTAAGGTAGCGGAAGTGCTAGTGTTTCAGAGAACTCCTGGGCTGCGTCTAGACTGACATGATTTTCATCAAATGCTTTTAACGGAAAAGTTTTTTCCGTTAAAAGCATTTGCGGAAAAGAGCATCTAGATTGGCACGGACGCTTTTCCGCAAAAGCACTTTTTGCAGAAAAGCGTCCGTGCCAATCTAGACGCGGTTTTGCGCAAGAAAGCCCCGATCGCCATTTTCATGATCGGGGCTTTTTTGCGCAAAACAGTACCATGTTGTCTACACTGGCCCTCTTGCGCAAAAGCATTTGCGCAAGAGGACTTTTGCCCGAATGGGAGCAGCACAGCATTTCCGCAAGAACACTGACAATCTTACATGAGATCATCAGTGTTCTTGCAGAAATCAAGGTGGCCGGTGTAGACAGCTGGCAAGATTTTCCCCAAAAGCAGCTGCTTTTGCGGAAAAACTTGCCAGTCTAGACGCAGCCATGTAGTTGTATGTTGATCCTCATAGAGGCATAATGGACCTAATATATCTGAACTATCCAAGAGAGGGCTGGACAGAGTAGGACAGGCATCTTTGAGGGGGAGATCTGGGACCGAGAATATGCTGAAGTCACCTGCAAGTAGTAACCACAGCTGCTGGAAGCCAGAGTGTGGCTGCTGTTTGCTGACAAACTGATGGGGTCAGAGCTGATGGATCAGGCTTGTGGCTAGACACATACACTCAGGGGCTATGTCTAGATTGGCATGATTTTCTGGAAATGCTTTTAACGGAAAAGTTTTTCCGTTAAAAGCATTTTCGGAACAGAGCATCTAGATTGTCATGGACACTTTTCCGCAAAAGCACTTTTTGCAGAAAAGCGACCGTGGCCAATCTAGACGCGCTTTTCCGCAAAAAAGCCCCGATCACCATTTTCGCGATCGGGGCTTTTTTGCGGAAAACAAATCTTAGCTGTCTACACTGGCCCTTTTGCGCAAAGTTTTGCGCAAAAGGGACTTTTGCCTGAACGGGAGCAGAATAGTATTTCTGCAAAAAGCACTGATTTTTTGCAGTAGGAAGTCAGTGCTTTTGCGGAAATTCAAGCGGCCAGTGTAGACAGCTGGCAAGTTTTTCCAGAAAAGCGGCTGATTTTCCGGAAAAACTGGCCAGTCTAGACACAGCCAGGTTGTAACCTGCATGCTGTTTGGCTGTGAGGAGTGCAAGTTGAGAGTTACAGTATTGTGCCCTGGAATGTCATAGAGTCATTTGCTAGAAGTCTATAAAATCATGAATGTGTGTGGAAAAAGTGAATAAGGAAGTGTTATATACTTCCCTTGTATACCACAAAGACCAGAGATCACCCAATGAAATGAATAGTCAGCAGGTTTCAAACAAACAAACAAACAAACAAACAAACAAACAAACAAAAGGAAGTACTTCATAAAATGCAGTCAAACCATGAAACTCGTTGT